GAAAGTGAGAGATATGTGTTGTAATGTGTTGTTTAGTTCATGAGAATAGAGAAAGAAGAAGGGTAAATGGAATTTGGAGGCATTAAGAGCTTCAAAATTGGTTGTTCATGATTGTTGGAGTATTGATAACAATGACAATCTTGTAATTACTTGAAGATGATGAGGGTGAGAGAGTAAATATGTTATTTTCGAAAAAAAAAAATGATGGCATTTTCGTGAATTATATGAACTTGTGGGGTGAATTGGGCAAAATAAAGTTCTAAAAAAAAGAGGTTAGTTTTGTGGTTGACTTCCAGTTTCAGGTCAATTCTGCAAAAAGTCCTCCTTTTTAATTAGCATCAAAAATAAAATAAAAAACACAACAACATGCGAATAAGCTTACTTCTGGGGACATAGCACAACAAAAATAGGGACATCCTACACACATTCAGTTCCACGGACTAAGACATATACATCTTGACATCATGTTGTCCAAAAAAAAAGAAAAAAATACATCTTAAAATCACGTCCACAACCATGAGTTAACGACTGAGACATACATCCTAACATCACTTCCACATTCCGGAATTGATCTGAGAAAATAAATTTTAGGGTTCTTGAGCTTTGAAAGCAAAAGCTGTACGTTTTTTTTTCTTTTTTTTCTAATTATAATTAACGTCTCTAAAGATGAGTTAACGTTTGATTAACTAAAGTCTAATTTTGCATAATCAATAATGATTTCAGGAATAAATCTGCATAAGTTGTAGTTGGGTATTAAAAGTGCTAATTTAAAATAGTTTAGGAATTAAAAGCTCTTTTTCCCTCTAACTAACCTACTATTTAAAATCAACGTTATCAAGGTCATATGTGTATACTGACTGAATGGTTTAGGATCTTCATGACAATGGTTTAGGATCTTATATGTGGAACTTAGTACCCAGTTTGTGTTGGAATTTTACATCCTACACATTGATATACGTATTGTATAATAATAATAAACCGGTTATAAATGTGTAGAAGAATACTATTCAACCATGTTTTGCATTAGATATAAATCCTAAAAGATTATTAATAATTTTTTATTATTTAATATATATTTGTAAATACCAAAATTATTAAAATTAGATATTAAATAAGTTGATATATATGAAATAAAAGATTCTCATAAATGGACATAATGTAAAAATCAACAAAAGTCAAATAGGGTGAATTAACTAAATACCACCAAATACTGAGATACCATAAAAGAGGAGAAAAAAAGATACATATGTAAAAAGATTGAAAAGTACACAAAATTACATTATATACTAGAAAAGATATTATATTTTTTAAAATAAAATATAATTAATAAAATTGATTAAGTTAATATATTGATATTTACACATATATATATATATATATGTCCTTTTAAATAACTATAAAATTGCTATTAATATTCTTTTAAGATTTACATACGTGAAGAGATTGAAAAATACACAAAGTACATGATAAATTAGAAAATACAGCATAGTTTTAAAAGAAAAACCTAATTAATATATTTTTTAAGAAACTATACATCAATGGTCATTTAATTGAAATTAGAGTTTGATCCGCGCCACGTGTTTTTAATTATAATTTAATATTTATTTTATGAAATGATGATCTAAATTTTAAAATTTTATCATGCACGGATTTTTTTTATAAATGAATATTTGTTTTGTGTACATGATAATCTATATTTTAAATTTTATCGTGTGTGGATTTTCATTTTTACACTTTTTTATAAATATGTATCTTGTGTAAGTGATGATTTCAAAAATAATCATTTAATATTATATGTTTAAAACACAATAACTTTATAATTTATATTAATTATTATAAATTGGATTATAATTCGTTAATTGTATCACTTATATTTTTAGGATATGTTTTGTATATATGCACAAATGTGTTTTATTTTATTTTTATGGATCAAAATTATAAATATAATGTATAATAATTTATTTTATATATTTAAAATATGTTTCTATAAACTTTATAATATTCCACATTTGTAATATTGAATTTACATTAGAATACTATTTATAGGAAATATACAAAATAATAAACGGTAGGATTTTAGCCACAAATTTTTATTTTTAAATTTAGAATATTCTGTTTATTATAATTGTGTTTAAACCTATTAAATAAATATAGTGTAGGTTTTTTTTATTTTTGCCTAACTCTTTGTTAGTTATAATTATTTTAAGAAATGATGTAATAATTATAAAATAAAAGATTATTGAAAGTTAGAATTATTTAATATTTTAGTGATATTAATTTTTAAAACAAATTGTAAGTTTTAGTGGTATTTTTTTTATTTGTACTTTTTTTAATAAGATAAATGCATAACGTCCAAAAAGAAATTGTCTCATCCTAAACGAATCTCATATAACATTACACCAAATACAACAACAGATGTGACAAAAAAACACTTTAATAGACAAAAAAAATGATTCACAACAAAAAAAGTAGTTATATGGAAATCAAGATGTGGGAACATATATAGTAAGTCAACAAAATAACTACTGTGTATATTACATTCATATGAAACATAACATTCAACTTCGAACGGACAATAAGTCAAACTTGGCCTAAATAAATAAAAATGTTTTCGTGTCTTATCACTCATTTATCAGTCACCCTAAATGGCCGACAATTTAAATTCCAAAATTCACAATCAATTTTCTCTTACATTAACGAAAATGAAAACAATATTTATCACTAACCACTAAAAGAAAAACCACCATAACTCAATCTATGTTTGCTAGAAATTCATATCGACCATCAACATGTAACATCACCCAACAACAACATTCAAATCAGTTAAAAGAACCCACACATGATGTAAAAATTTATCTATAAATATTAGTAATTTCATGGTTACAAATAATTTTGAACTAATTAAAAATATAACATAAGAACCCTATTAACAGAACTGATCCGAATATTTTACTTCTACTCTATTAAAATAGAGTCATTCTTTTTATCTACTAATACAAGTTGTCATTTAAATTTGGACCTTTTCTAGAGTGTTACAAATAATATAAGTCATATAGTTAACTGAACCGTATTACTTAAATTAAACCGGTGGTTATTTATGGAATATAGTCCTGGGCTTACTTTTATTTTTAGAATAAATTATATGATTTGGTTTTTGGGCTTAATATTAAGGAAAAACTCCAAAAACAATGAATAAACTTTACACCTTAATGAATCAAAAAATCAATTATTTTTTCAGGCCCAAAAGGTATTTAAGATTTTTAACAAAACAAAATTGTCTATTATTAATCATTTATTTAAATCATGTACTTAAAAACATGATAATGTATTTTTTATTTTAAATAAAAATCCCTTTTTTGATAAATTTCAATGGTAACTTTAAAATAATATATTGTTTTATTTTTCTTAAATAATTTACTGTTTTAAAAAAATATGTAAAGCAAAACCAAAAACTAAATCTAAAAACTAAAATCCAAAACCAAAAGTTACAAATAATACAAGTCATATAGTTAATTGAACCGTATTACTTAAATTAAACCGGTGGTTATTTATGGAATATAGTCTTGGGCTTACTTTTATTTTTAGAATAAATTATATGATTTGGTTTTTGGGCTTAATATTAAGGAAAAATCTCCAAAACAATGAATAAACTTTCCACCTTAATGAATCAAAAAATCAATTATTTTTCAGGCCCAAAAGGTATTTAAGATTTTTAACAAAACAAAATTGTCTATTATTAATCATTTATTTAAATCATGTACTTAAAAACATGATAATGTATTTTTTATTTTAAATAACAATCCCTTTTTTGATAAATTTCAATGGTAACTTTAAAATAATATATTGTTTTATTTTTCTTAAATAATTTACTGTTTTAAAAAAAATATGTAAAGCAAAACCAAAAACTAAATCTAAAAACTAAAATCCAAAACCAAAAGTTGAAAACGCAGGTTAAAATATTGCATTTTTAAAAAAAAAAAGCTTTTGTCATCTTTTCAGTTTTAAATTAGATGTTCAATTATTTGAGATTTGTTTGTTGGTAATATCAGTTCAAACTAACTCAACGGATCTAAAAATTAAAAACTCAAACCAAAACCTGAAATCAAAAATAGAAACTTAAAAACTAAAACCCAAAAAATCAAAATCTAAAAGAAAATCTAAAAAAAAAAATTGAAACTAAAAACTAATGAAAAAAAATCATCACCACAAATTTTGATGAACTGATTTTATACCAAAACATTCTTTAAATTAAGACAAAAACCCAATTATATAATTTTTTAATCATAAAAAAATTTCCGCGCTTTCAAGCGCGGGTTAAAATCTAGTTACTTGTTTAAAATAGAAGATATGTTTTGCTGTTTCCTCCAATCAATTCTAAAAAAATCTCTCACATATATTAACAAACTGTTCAAACTATGTAAAATGTCAAAAAAAAATCTCCCCCGTATATTTCGCACTAATAATATAGCTACAATATCAATTTCTTTTAACACATTTCCAAAATTTATATTACTGGCTACATGTTCTATAAACTAACCCAACACCAAATATTTAATTTTTTGTATAATTACATAACTGATCTAACACACATCTAATTCAAAAAAAAAAAAATATATATATATATATATATATACATAACAAATTGGGAAAATTGCATAACTACCATTTTTGTGATACCAATATCATTAATAGAAAAAAGACAAAAATAACCCTTTCGTGATTTTCTATCTCTTTCTCGAGACTTTGACAGAACGACGGCGAAGGCAACGAGATGGAGCGACGAGATAATCCAGAGTTCCACTTGGATTCACCGATGTGAGCAAGGGGAGACAATGGTTTGATGGAAGAAGACGATGTTGACGCTATTATCGAGGAAAACGGTGTTGACTACGAAAGCGATTTCGAGCTTTCCTCAAACCTCCGTGACTTTGCCGCCGCTGCTCAGTCCGGTGACGTCGTCGCCTTGCGCACCGCCATTGGTACTTTCTTTTCTTCTATACGAATCTCTTATAGCTCACATTCGATTGCGTTATGCTTTGATTAGCTTTGGCTAGGATGTAAAGACTCAAGCTTTTTTAATGGAACTAATCATCTTCGAAACCAAAGAGTAGACTTGCCTTGCTAGAATTTAACGCATAATTAATTTAAAATGAAAAAAATCCTACACCATTAGACAAGATGCACCATTTAATGTGTATTCTCTCTACTTTGCTTATGTTTTGAGTGATTTGTTGCTCGAGGCTGTGATGGACATGACAAATGATCTGAATTCTCTTATTGAGTCTGATAAGTTTCAAGTGGTAGACAAGTAAAGTTATCAGTTTTGCTTCGAAATTGGCTGATATGTCCTTTATGTGTGCAATTGTTACAAGACTCAGCTTATGAAGACAATATGTTTCTTCTTCTTTTTCCTGATGATTTTCTTATCCGCCTTTGAATTTGGTAGATAATCTGAATGGGCGAGTTGATGAGCCACTTGAGGATAATGACTCGGCACTTCACCTTGCGTGTCTCTATGGTCACCTTCCTTGTGTTCAGGTTTTTTTTTTTGCTTTTACTACCTTCTGCTTGGTCATTTCTACCCAATTTTTGTCAGCGGATATGTTTTTGTAAACTTATTTGCTGCAGCTTCTCCTGGAGAGAGGTGCTAATATGGAGATCAAAGATGAAGATGAAGCCATTCCTCTGCATGATGCTTGTGCTGGAGGTAAACTTGGTCTTCGCCCTCTTTTTCGTATNATTTGCTGCAGCTTCTCCTGGAGAGAGGTGCTAATATGGAGATCAAAGATGAAGATGAAGCCATTCCTCTGCATGATGCTTGTGCTGGAGGTAAACTTGGTCTTCGCCCTCTTTTTCGTATTTCTTTCTCACACCATGTTCAAGTTTTATAGCTTTTCTTTTGTTGAACTTGGGGGCTAGCAGGATACTTAGAGATAGTCGAGCTTCTATTTAGCCGAGCTACTGGTCCTGAATATGTGAAGAGAATGATTGAAACTATTGATGTAGAAGGTGACACTGTAAGTATTATTCACCATCTACAAATCAATCACTCTCTCCATCTCTCTGACCTGTGATTAATGACAAATTGTTCTTGTTCACACAGCCTCTGCATCATGCAGCCAGAGGCGAGCATGTCAATGTGATTAATTTTTTGCTGAGTTCAGGTGCTTCACCAACAATCAAAAACTCGTATGGGAAGGTAAACGTTCGAAAACATTTTGCATCTTTGGTTCTCCTTGTCTTCTTGATTAGTGATAGCAAGCTTGTGATTATCTGCAGACACCAAGTGAACTAGCTGATGTAAACACTGATGCTAAGAGGATCCTCGAAGCTGCCACTGGCGACTCACTTAGCTCCTAAAAGTTTCTGCCAAGTTCTTGGGCAGTGATGTTACGAAATATTTCTCAAAAGGTTTTGACTTGTCTTTCACTGTTTTATACAAAGGATTATAACCTGATACCTAAGATTTTAAAATGTTGTGTCGGTTTTCAGGTATGAAATTTATTATCAGATTAATAGTAGATTTGAATGGCTTCTCGTTAAGCCTTTTATATCAAGAAGAATAAAGATGCTAATAAAAGCCTCATCGTATTGCAGTCATGTTTGGAAGTGTTCCTTTAATAATTGATATTGTGACTTATAACTAGTAGGGGAGAGAGAGAGACCTCACTGATGCGCCGTTAACTTATATGCCTGTTTTGCTATGTCCATGAGCAAACACTAAAAAAGATAGAAAATGTTGAAGTGTTCAAAGACCTTGAATTAATCAAGGCAGGTGTTGAAAGCTACGCTTTCAAATCTTTATAATTCACACATTGTATATTTACAATAGATCTCATTTACATTATATACTCCTCCACGATTAAAATGGGGAACAGGAATTCAACCTGTGAGTTTGGTTATCTACGAAACAAATATTACTTAAACCCGGTTCAGTGTTGCGACTATGACCAGTAAATATTTATGAACTCTCTTATAAATGATTTAGAAGTCTTTAAAAATAATAGTAAACCCTTATAAAAATAATTTATAAACTCTATAACCATTTATCAACTCTTATAATATTATTTATAAACGCTTATAAAATTATCCATGAGCAATTGTAAATGATTTATAGGACTCTACTAGATGAACAGTAGAACTTTCATATTTAATTGATCAACTCTTATAAAGCCATGAACATAAACAAAAAAAACTCTTATAAACCCTTACAAGATGATTTAAAGCATTGCAAGTCAAACTATAAACTTTTATAAATCATTTTATAGCACAGAAAAAATTCAGTTTATTCTATTTCAGTTTATAAACATTTATAAATTAGTTTATAGACACTTGTAAATCCATTTATAAACCATTATAAATGCAATTATAAATCCTTATAAATCAATTTATAAATTCTAATAAATACATTTATAAACCCTTATAAATTAATTAATAAAATTTTATAAATGTGCAAAAATTTGGTATTTCAGTTTTAAGAATTTAAAAGGGTTTGTATCATTTATAGACCCTTTTAAATCTTTTTTATAAACAGATTATAAGAATATATAGAAACTTTTTTATAATAATCAAGAAATCATTTATAAGAATATATAAAATTACTTATAAGGATTTGTAAAAATTCTAAAGATAATTCAATTATAAAGTCTTAAAATTTTTTATAAAGGCTTATAAATCATTTATAAGAGTTTATAAATCATTTATAAGGGTTTATAAATCATTTATAATGGTTTCTAAATCATTTATAATGGTTTATAGATCATTTATAAATATTTATAAAATCATTTGTAAATTATTATTAGTTTTTTATAAGGCTTTATAAATTATAAACATTATTTTAAAAGTTTATAAATTATATATAAGACTCATTTTAAATATTTATAATGGATTTATAAATCAATACAAAATGATGTATAAAGATTTATACCATAGTAAAATATTTTAGATGATTTAAAACTCTTACAAATAATTTATAAGCGTTTATAAATGTTTATAGCTAATTAAATCCTTATAAACTTGACCACAGTTGCAAAGCTGAACAACCACACTAGCATGTAGAATCTACGGATAGTTCTTCCCTAACCACACCAGCTCTGACCAAGAACTCCTCCAAATTCATCTCTCCCAAGTTTGTTGCCTCTGTGGGACTCCACTTGCTTCTCCAACATCTAGTTCACTCTATGTGATAAGAACTTCGTCTTTGAAACACCTGAGGATACTGTGAAAACTGTGAGTGATGCTATAGAAGAAGGCAAGAAATAGTGAGGAGTTTGGTTTGGTTATGGATTCTTGCCTTACGTTGTAGTGTAAATGTATATGATCTTATTCTTCTTCTTCCTAGCACTTTTGTTGCTGTAGTGACTCTTCTTATTAAACTTAAACATCTCACACTACTATTATTCTCAACAGTTTCAGAAACCATTATTTTAAACGAGATAGCCAGATGAAGAGGACGTTTGGTTAGTAGCTAACATTTACTTTGTTATGTACATGAAGTTAAGAGATAAAAAAATACTAAAAGCCTTAACGTACTCTACAAGCAGAGGAGAGAGTAGAAGACCAGAGGTATAAAAGCATTGTCTAGCTGCACCGTGTAAGCTTCCAACATTCCCGTGGCTGTAACCGCAACAAGAAGCGACCACCATCCTTGGCTTAGTATATAACCCATTGATGCTAATACTGGGACCAGTACATTTTCCTCTTCCCATTAAATGCAGAATTCACCTGTTTTTTTGAAAATTGGATTCAGCTCTTTATTTTATTTTTTGTTCTTCTTACAAAATCTAAGAAGCATATTGAAGAGAGTTTAAGCTAACCAAATAGAAGAAACTTTTGGTGGAAGAAACATCGGGATAGTCCCTAGGATGCTTCAGTTTGAATGTTACAACAGCTGCGTCAACCTGCAAGTAGAGAGCCCACAAGATTAAAACCAACTTATATATACACATATAGGTAATTTGATAGGCATAGTTTGGAGATCCAAAACTTGAAACAAAGAAAGTACCTTAGGCTGAGGGAAGAAGTTTTCCCTAGGAACTCTGAAATTGTATTCCGGTTCTTGAAACAAAGAAAGTAGTTTATCAGCAAAAGAAGCACATTAATTAACACGATCACAAGATTTGCAAACACAGATGAAAATGGAACAAGTAGTACCAGAATAGAAATTGACCAAAATGTTGATGGGTCGGTATTCAGATGTTCGCAAAGCTGGCTCAACCAATCGCAAAGCTGCCTCATCCTAAGATAAGCCCCAACACAATTGTTATATACTATAGCTGTTGGCTGTTGTTTATTCCCTCCGAGACTTATACCTTACTATTTCTGATTATAATATTAGTCTTGAGACTTATAACTTACTCAGTCCATGGAGCCTTAACCATCTTTGCCATGAACGCATACCGATCGGCCGCTTCATCAATCTGTTCAAAATCTCAAAATCAGTCAGCCATGGAAAAGATGTATGTGCAAACTTCTAAAAAGGTGATTCTCCAAACTTCCTCGAGGCATGAACTCATAAACCAGCAGCCTTTGATCATCTTCGATACAATAACCCACCAGTTTAACAAGATTCGGATGGAGAAGATTGCCATTGAAAATGGACGATTCTTTCGCCACTGTGATAACCAGCTAATGTCAGAAGTAAGACTAAATTCAGTTGCAATCACTACAATGTCTTCTAGAATCATTGCAAGCTTCTTTCATTACAAGATAGTTGTTTATAAGAGTATAAAATAATTTATAAATGATTTAATAAGAAATAAAAGTGAATTTATAAACATTAATAAACATTAAATGATCTAAACTGTTTATAAAATCATCTTAAAGTGTTATAAATATTTATAAGATCATTTGTAATTAGTTTATGAATTATTTATAATGGTTTATAAATTATTTATAATGGTTTCTAAATCATTTATAATGGTTTATAGATCTTTATAAATATTTATAAAATCACTTATAATTTATTATTAATTTTTTATAAGGTTTTATAAATTTTAAAAATTATTTTAAAGTCTTTGTAAGTATAATTTAAGATTCATAAAGGTTCTATAAGGGTTTTTTATATAAGGTTATGAAGTCATTTCTAAGAGTTAATCTATGAGAGTTTATAAATCATATAATAAGTCTATTGAATTTATAAAGATTTATAAAGCCAGAGTGTAGCTAATGGAGACGATCTCAAGCACGATGATTCCACCCTAGTTACATAACAAGTTATGTAATGACATTATGATTTAATGAAAATTAGATACATGGGGTTTTGAATTCTTTTTTTGATGAGTTCCCACTAATGTCAAATGAAAGTTTACAATAAGCGAAACATCAATCAATTTCTATCACTAAAAAGCTCAAAACAACATAAGGTTTGTTTGAGTCTTATTTATTTATGGGATATGGTAAAGTAAATGTTGAGGACTACTACATGTGGGAATAAGCAGGGCCTCCACCACCTTCAGGCACTGTCCACTCTATGTTTTGCTTTGGATCTTTAATATCACATGCATGTTAGATAGAAAACACCAAACAACCATTTTATATAGTCACATGTATAAACATACTTAAACACAAAGAAGATAAAAGTGTGATGCATATACCCTTATGCTTGAGATAAAAACCAGTCAAAAAAATAAATGTATAAAGATTTATAAATCAACTTCTAAACCCTTAAATTAGTTTATAAGCCTTTATAAATGGCTCTCGCATGGAAAAATATACATACAAAAATCGGGGATGAGACCGGGGACTCTCTCTCAAAGTTAAAAGACAATGTATACTTTTTCTGAGAACAGTATATAAACTTTGTATATAAACTGGTTTTAGATGGAAACTAAATCCTTTTCTTGAACGTATGGATGTAGTATGAAAACTAGGATTAATTATGTTCTCATTACTGTCGGTAATGAGCATGTAACTGATTGGCTTCTAAATAGGAATTAAATTGATCCATCTTGAAAGAACTCTGAACTTAGTTTCAGAAAAAAATAAGAACTCTGACATACTCTCTATGGATTGATTCATGCTACAGACACGTACATGTTGAGCTTTCCAATAGGAATCCCAATTCCATACACTCCGAGGTCTCATAAGCCAAGAATACAGCTACACTATGTGATGAAAATCATATCTACCTTCTGAGGTGGCCAGTTATATCACAGACATCATCTCTCTTCTAAATGAATTTATAAACTCTTCTAAATGAAAACTCTTGTAATGTGGTTCATATGTCTTCAGCTGGCCAGTTACACTACTTAGTCTGTCTGAGTTTCGGGGTAATGTGGTTCATATGTCTTAATTCTCTTGCCTTTCTCTAATTCTAGTCATGTCTCCTTATCTCTTATATTGGCTTCACAACTTCTTTGCCGCAAACTTCAAATGCACGAGGTCAAATCTCTAAATCATATCTAAGCAAACCCCTTAATCTTGTTGCATCAATAAGGCAGCCAATGTCAATCCGGATTTTATGTTTAACGCTGGGTTTGGATTTTATTTCCGGTTAAGTATTACTCAAGATGAATGCATTAGATAGTAATATAATATAGAAGTTTATAAGGGTTTATAAAACATTCATAAAATTTATAAATTTTATACACCATTTATAAATAATTTATAAGGGTTTATAAAACATTTATAAAGTTTATAAAAACAATTTATAAATTTTATACATCAATTTATGAGGGTTTTATAAGGGGTTTTAAATGGTTTATAAATAATTTTATATCACTTTTAAAACTAAAATTAGTTTATCATAATAATAATTCAACTTCAAACGCCTAGAATTCTTATAAATCTGGGTTTTCTGATATTGTGATAATAAGTCCAAACAATTTATAAGCTTTTGTAAAGTAGTATTGGAATAACATATTTATATATATAGAAACGTTTATAAATATATTCACTTAGACAATTTATAAGGGTTTATAAAAGTAAAATAAATCAGTTAAAGGAACTCTAAATCATATAAGAAGTTTATAACCATTTAGAAAGTCTAATAAAAGAATTTACAAGGATTTGCAGAATATTTTATAAGGGGTTTTAAGGATATATAAAAATTTATAAGGGTTTATAAAAATTATAAGTAAATCTTTATGAAAGTATTTATAATGTTTATAAATATCCTATAAATGTTTGTAAATTATAAACTGATGTATAAAAGTTATAAGTTGTTTTTAGGTGAGTTTTTGTCAACAGAATGATGATAATTGTTAATGAAGTGATTTATAAAGGTTTATAAACTGATATATAATGGCTTTTAATTTGATTTTCCTAAAAAATCGTTCAAATAGATAATGAACAAAAATAGGCTTTGCAAAACATATTCTTTTGCATCATCCCATGTGACAAAAATTCTGTGAAAATCTCAATGCATGTTTCCATACATTTTTACCCAATTCTATGTACAACCATAAGATGGATTAACTATAACTACATTGTTGAGAGCCTTTGAACTCAAGGAACTCCAAGGCCCCTGATATGTTTCAAAGGCAACATATCTTCCTGCTTTCCTTTGAACTCAAGGAACTCTCCTAACACAATCTTGCTAGTTTTAAGCTCCACCCTGCATCACAATCAAAACGTTTTTTTAAAAAGAAAAACTTTTTGAGCAGCACTAACCTCAGAACAAAAACTTATATGTTAAATGTCAATATATATAAAGAGGTATTATGACCTATCCCACATTGGTGCAGTGGCAAGGATGAAGTTAAGTTTTTGATGCGAAAAGTCCTGCGTCTCATTTCCTGTGCACAATGCGCCTTTTTCACCCAACCAGGAAGTATGTTCCTTGATACTGGTTTCAGATGTTGCCACTCTTCGTAGGTAATTACCTCACTCGGAAATGCATGCATTGTACTGAAATAAACACAAGTTTTTGCATCACGAGAAAAACCAAAGAATAGTATTTAAGAGGCAAACTAGTCACACGCCCACATACTTCAAAAGAGTCTGCAACTAGTATCGCTGTTTCTTTCTTTGTCATGACAAACATAGGTGCAAACATGTCAATATACTGACAGGTCGCAAAGATAAACAATACATACCGAAAGTTTGGATTGGGAATTACAACTTTGCAAGACAGATTTCCTTCTAGTAAAGTAACCTGTCTTTGTTCCAGATATGATTCAAGAACTGAAGCTTGTTTCTTTACCTCAGCCAGCTGAGTAAACATTAATTCTATAGTTAGAAACAAAGTTGCATAGATGGATGAAGCAAGTCAGCTTTGCTCTGTCAAGAAAAAACCATAAAAGATTTCAATAAATCAAACATTTAATCTTGTATTCACTTTGTATATATTGTCTAGGAATGTTTCACACCGTCTCCAATGTATATATTGTCTAGGAATTATCGAGTACAAAATAAAGAAATGTTATCTATAGAGGAAAAAAATAGTAATCTTTATTTTAGAGGAAGAAATGGAGTTTAGTTGGAGTAGACTTGCCTAAATGCTATTATAGAGGCAAATATAGAGATAGTTCGGAGATGGTCTAAAGAGGATCATGGAGCCAAGAGGCAACAGTTTTATCAGTAAAGCACCCCTAAACTAGTTTCATAACAATCTACTAAAGCGACAAACATAGTCATTGTAACCATTGCAGTGACGTACAGGATCAGGGTAAGTCTGAGTTGTATGATGCTTCCCACCTTCACAAACCCAGCTTCCATCGCTGGTTACAGTAACAGTCCCAGATAGATTCTTGACACCGATACCAAAACTTGTCTAAAAACAAACATATCAAGTCAACACATATCACAGAGAGATAAACCAGAGAGAGAGAGAGAGAGAGAGAAAGTTACCCTTTAGTGAGGAGGACAACATCTATGTCCTGTCTAGAAGAAGTGTCTGCATCTGGAATTCGAAGTACTACATAATCTTTTCCACCATAAACCTTCTCAAGTCTGCAAACTCAGTTTATTAACAATATAATCCAGTCAATGAAGTGAATCAATCAGAAAATTGGGTTTACCTATGAGCAACGGAGAGAGAGCAGTGGACGCGGAGGTTCCGTCATCGTAAATCTCGTCATCTTTGAAGAAGACTTTCTCAGGGTCCTTGGAGTTGAGAGCAGTGGAGTTAACCACAACCGAAGTAGCATTCTCTAGTAAGTGATAAGAAATCTGAGCGTACTTAGCACTCTTCTCAGTAACAGAGCTCATCTGCCCTCCTCATGATCATAGTGGAACTGTCGTATTGAAGCTGCTGAGCTTGGTAAAGCACGAAAACCCTGTCGTGGATAGTGGGTTCAGAGTCAAAAACCGTCAAGGGACGTCTGGAAGCAGCGACAGTGAAAACAATAGGACCTGATGCAAACTAAATTGTAAGTTTCTTTAATTCATAAGTCTACATATTGATAGCAAAAGTCAACATCAAAGTCTTGTTCATAGAAATAAGACACTGATGCATAAGTACAATAGGGATCTAAGCTACAAAATTTCTCGAGTCACCTGCTTGTGTTCTCTTGAACCAAGGTGTGGCGTTGCAGAAGTTATAAAATACACAGGCTCCAATCCACAAGATCTTATAAATTTGAGATTTGAAAACTTCATGAGAAGAACTCATGTCTATTTTGATAAACAAAGCTACAATTACAGAAAGAGACGAAAATCACCATCTATTATCCTCTTACCTTTGTTAGAATTTCTTAGGCATCACGAGAGAGATCGTCTCGTGCTTCGCAGGAGAACTCATCAGCATCGTCAGATTCTGCCGGAGAATTCGTCATCATCTTCAAAGCTCGCCGGAGAACTCGTCACAATCGTCGAATCTCGTCAGATTTGATTATTGGATGTCGTTCAATTTGGTAGATCCGAAATTTAAGAAATCGTAGGAAAGAACACGATAGTTTTAGGTTTTATTTGTTAGGGGTATTATTGTATTTTGCTTATTAAAAATTTAATGGTAAAGTTGGTTAATGCATAAATGAAAAATGGTATTAGGAAAGTGGTATTTGTTACAATTTCCCTAACAAATTAGTAACACAACATTGTTGGTCACAACAAATAAGCTAAAGTAACGCAAGTGCAATTATTAAATTGTTGTACTTTAAAATATTTATAAATCTATAGTAACCAAACACTCGTGCGGATGCATAGGTCAAACTCTAATCTATATTATTAAAAGAAAGTACAAAATAGAAATAACCCTTAATTTATCACTTATTTACATTAGAATATCATTGAGATATTTATTGAACCTATATTTTAGTATCCTTGTCTTTTCTTAATTTAAAAAAGATTTAAGTACTTAACTAGATTTTGATCCGTGCAACAACACGGGAATTGTTTTTCACTTTTATATACATAAATATTTGTATTAGAACATTAGTGGTATATATTTTTAACATTAAATATAACTATTTCAAATACAATAATTTTATCATTTACATGTTATATTAATAAATTGTTTAAAAACATATGTATTTGTCACTTCTTATTATATCTTTATCTTATTGTATTTGTATTTATTTATTAAGAAAATTAATATATTCATGAGAAAACATATTTGAAAATTATTTTATATTTAGTTTATGGTAAATTCTGACCCGACCTTCAAAGCTGGATTTTCTTTTACCAATATTTTTATGTTTATTAATTTTAGATAATATATTATTATATATATAAAAGTCTAAGATCTGTTAATTTTTCGAATATAGTATATAATTTGCTAATTTTAAGCCGTCATGTCATCATATTATATTTTTAAAATAAATAGTTTATATTTATGAAAATAAAATTTATCAATTTATATATTTAATATAATTTTATCATATTTAGTTCAATATAATAATTGTTTTTAACATGATAATTATGACTATGAAATAAATCAAATAGGATATAATTTAAATTTTCATTTTATGACGATAACATAAAATATATTAACTTATTGTAAAATATTTTTACACAGATTTTTTAGAATTTTTAAAATTTAATATATAAATATATATTTATATTTAAAATGAAAAGATATAATGATTAAACTAGTTATGAATATCTCATATTATTAGCTTTTATGAAATAGATGTTAATTTATATACATTTATTATATAGTTTGCTAATTTTAACATGTCTTATCAACATATTAAATCTTATTTTTGAACATAAATATTTTTTACTTACAAAAATAAAATATATAAATTTAAAAATTTAATAGAATTTTATTATATTTAGCTAAATATAATATTTTCAAAAAAAATATGATTGATTATGATTATATAATGGATATTATGATATAATTAAGTTTTATATTTTATATCTTAACTAAATATATTAATGTATAATAATATTTCAAACTAATTTCAAATTTAGTAAAAATATTAAAGATAATATTGAAAATGAATATCTTACAAAATATTTTAAAACGAATTTTTTAGAATTTAAATAAATAGATTTATATTTAAAATGAAAAGATATCAAAAGATACTATGATTAAAGTATTTTAAAAAGTCTATATATTATTAGTCACAATGAAATACATATAATAAAAGTTTCTATTGATGGTCCATTTTTAAAAAAAAATTAACACATGAATCAAGGTCATGACTTCTATTTTAGGGTAGGACTGGTTCAAACGAAGCGGCTGTGGTTGCGATTGTGGGAGTTTGCGGATGCGGGTAGTTACGAATCCTTGTGATTTTAAGAGATTATTACGACTAGTGCTGCGATTACAAATTGGTACGTTTGCGAGATATTTATGACTGGTTAACTAGCAAATGCAGTAGCGGTTAAAATATAAATTAACAATATTTACATTTTGTATAATTATAAAAAGTATCAAAAATCATCATATTATAATAAATATAAAAATTATACTTATAAAGTTATAGTTTTAAATTTGTAAAATTATTGAAATATTTTTAATGATATTAACGAAAATAGAGTAGATATATTTTAGTATTACTATAATTCCAAATTAAAAAAAAATTATTGAAAATTTTTATTTTTGTATTATATTTTTTTTTAAAAAGAAAAAAAAAATCAACATCCCGCAACCGTCCGCAATCGTAAACGCTAGTTGGACCAACTTTTGTATTTAAGAGGTTTAGAGCGGTTTGCAGCGGTTCAAAGCAGTTTGAGGGCATGACTGGTTCTCCCGCTATCATCCGCAAACGCAGCTTTTGCGGTTGGTAGCGGTTGTTGGCGTTTTGCAACAATCACAAAAGACGCTATAAACGTCTTCAAATCGCTCTGAATCTCTAAAATTCAAAATCTGGTTCCAGCTAGCGTTTGCGGTTGCGGACGATTGTGGGAGTATAAAAGTATTTTTATTTTTAAAAAATGATATAAATATAAAAATAAATATTCAATTAAAATTTTAAATTAAAATAATTGAAATACTGAAATATTTATTATAAAATTTCCAAAAAAGTATTTTATTTAATTTTAAAAAATTTAATAGTGCAGTATTTTCAATAAAAAGTTTATATTTATCATGAAAATATGATTTTAATATTTTGATAATTATATAAAATATAAATATTGTTAATTTATTATTTAACCGTTGTTGTATTTGATGATAAACCAGTCATAAGTATCCCGCAAACGCAACAATTTTTAAACACTAAACCAGTCGTACAAATTTCTTACTAACGCTTAAAACCGCAATCTCCCACTTCCGCAAACGGCCGCAACCACAACCGCAATCGCTGCGTTGTAACCACTCAGACCCTAGTGATTGTTGCAAAACGCCAACAACCATAAAAATTGCGTTTGCGGATGATAGCGGGAAAACCAGTGAGGCCCTTAATATATAATCAATTTATATAACATATAAAAAAATATAAAATACTTTATTCTTACATTATTAGTATAATGGTTTCATAATAAAAGTCCAATTAGTTATAAATAGTGGATTTGTTTATATGATACACTGTAATATAATAGACAATTAAAATCACAAAATATAATTCTTCAAAGTAATAAATAAAATTGTTATAAAATCACAAAATCACAAGATAAACTCATTAAACTCTTTCCAAGAAAAAATAATATGAATGTCGTACATCATCATCTGGAGCATTTCCTGAGAAGACACGGATTTCAAAGGAAGAGTCGAGACTTTGTGTGCCTTTCAGAAAGAAAGTACACGACTTGGGTTCATCAGACACATAGATGTAGGAAGCAATATAATTTATTCGATCTAACACATCGATCAGATTCCTACAAACTTAGAAATCTGATTTCTTCATCTCGTTCACTGTATCCATCAAAAGCTTTCCCAGTAATCAGAAACCGCATCAAGCTCACTGACTCAAACAAATGACGAGGGGTGAGATATTTTTGACTGAAATAGCACATAATCCACAAAGAAGACATAAGCAAGACTTGTCGATCTAAAAAAAAAAAAAAAAAAAAAGACTTGTCGATCTTATAAATAATAAGATCAAACTAGAAATCATCAACACAAAACCTGTTCAATCGTGGCATCTAAAGATGAAGACGAAGCCTTTCAAATAGAACTGTGGAAGGGAAATTGTTTATGAGATTCGTAAGTGATGTAGATAAATATTTGGGATATTTCCAAATATTTATTATTTATTTTATTAGTTATTTTAGATAATTATATTTATTGTTTTAGGGTTTTATGGTTTTCATATATATAGGCTTCTTATGCCTAGAGTTGTATTCAACAGTTTTTATGATGATTTGATAAATAAAAGTTTGTTCCTAAAGAGGTTTCTACAAACCACTGAGAAGAGTATTCTCAAACCCTAAGAGCTTTTAATTAAGCACTGTGAAGAGTATTCACAAACCCTAGTTTCCGGGTATTCTTAGAATCAACGGATCTAGTTCTATCTCTAGAAGCTTCCGCTACATCAGTTGGTATCAGAGCACGTTCTTTTGGTTTCTCAATCGAAGACGATTCTGGATGTCATGGTGAGTATTAGCATCTATCCTATCATGGACGAAAGTCCTTTTGTTGAAAGAGAAGAGAACCATGAGATCTATCGAGAGATCTATGGTGATCCAATCTATGATATATATGAAGACGATGTCCATCCTATTGACTTTGTTTTCAAAGAAGGTTCCTTTGAAAATTCGCGTGCAAAGTTAGGGCGAAATCATATTGATGAAGATTTGATGCGTGCAAACTTTGTGCAAAAACGAATTTTTGAAGATTCAAGATATAATCAGATCCGTGCAAAAATCGTGCAGAATCA